GAGATATGTAGAGATATGGTCAAAATGTCAATTAACTTAATCATCTGACCACAAGCATAAAATAGGCTGTGAAACATATATCTTCATTAATTCTCAGGCAATGAACTGCTGTCTTCATTTTGTGTGCAATAAACAGTAAAAAAGGTGATAGAAAACACTTAGTTTTGTGTTTTACCATAACTTTCTTCACTGCCTACTCCATTTTTTGTTCTTCGCAAAGTGTTTGAACGATCTTCGAAAAATTGCCCGTATTATTACTGATTCGCTTATTTCGAATTTCGCTTTGACAGTGAGTGTTGATTATCATTGCGACTATTGCATAGTGCTGAATGATGCAATTAACATATGTACATATTTATGTTCCCAGCAAGAAATTATCAATTATTGAAACATAGTTCATAATTAGTCTGACTTTGACAATCTTGCATCAATTTGGTACCCATTACGCGATTCGCAACATATTTTCTGTGAAATATCTCGCCTGTACCGTTGCGCTAAGGCTCTGCTTTGGCTAACGGTTCTGAGGTGTAGAATCAAGTAAAGTACAAATCTTTGGTAAAACTTTAATCGAAATATCTCCTATAGTCACGGCAAAAAATTGCGGTCCCGCTTCGAAAATAAAAGCTCGAATTTTCAACAGCGGAAAAATATATAGGAAGTACATAAATGCTGTTCTTTAGAATACCTCTGCCTTAAATTTAACAGTATCATTTTTTGAAAAGAGAAATATGTAACGCAAACAATTATTGGTTTTAAATTCACCAAAACCGCACCGTTGCCGTACTAGTTGGTTTCCCTGCAGGCTACATGCATACATACATATGCAAGTGCACATTGGTATTTAGGGGCAGCTGTTATTGCTAACAAGACAAACCGTTTAACTAATAGTTTTGCTGTCTACTTTTTCATGAGGCTTTCCTTGACATTGCCAATCGCACTGACCTTAATTGATGTAGTAAGTGTCAATGCCACCATAGCAAACAGAAATAAATAATATAAAAAATAAACTTTTCAATATACAACGCTTTTATAAATGGACTAAAAAGCAGAAAATAAAAATTCTTAGCCCCTTAGTTTGTTTTGATAACTTTTGATTTTGAAATTTTAGCAAGTCATTATAAATAATTTATGAGATTCAAAATGAAAAGCGCATGCAATACAAAGCATTAAATTTAATTGACAACAGTCAAACTACATAGCATATACCTAAAATTTCTACAGAGAAAGTACAAATTTGAGATCGATTTTAAGCGGTCGTTATTCATATATCCACATACATACATATATTACCCTTCATATCAATTCTGGTCTATTACATGCAACCCCACGCTTTTCATTTTCAATCTCATAAATTGCTTATAATGACTTTTGCTAAAATTTCAAAATCAAAAGTTATCAAAACAAATTCTATGGGACTGAGAATTATTATTTTCTACTTTTTGGTCCGTTTATAAAAGCGTTGTATATTAAACTTTTTTTATATTATTTATTTTCTACTTTTTAGTCTTGTCTGTTTAAAATTGTGCAATAGATAATAAAATAATTCAACGATATTAATAGATTGGTGCACACACATGCATATACATACATATGTATGTACATTAGGGTGGTCCAAAAACAGTAATGTCGGAATTGACCCCCTAGGATTGTTCTATATCGAAAAAAGTTCGCCCATGTATTTTTATATGGGGAAAAAACAACTTTTCGTAGAAATGGTAAAGAATTCTTGAAAATCCATATTTTTCTATCGGAAAACTGTGGTTCTCTTCAGGAGACTTTCAATAATAATACCCAATTGTTTATTTAACCACTTTTCAATACCAACGATTTTTTATTGCCCTCCTCATCGCATTTTTATGGGTTTTTGTAGGGGTTTGGCGGACCTATAAATTATAGTTGCGATGAAAAATGGTTAAATAAACATGGAAAACTTTGGGCGCTTTGAGCGCCTATAAATATTTTTTGATTTCAAAATAAAAAATATGGGATTATTTTTTTCGGTATGAAACAATCCTAGGGGGTGAGAGCATAAAAAATCCGACTTTATTTTTTAACATGCATTTTTGGACCACCCTAATGTACATATATACGAGCACCAATTAATTTCATTTAAAGAAATGACGTGTCATCCATTTCCGCTGCAGCGTACGTTCGCATAGGGCGACATCTACCTCTCGAACCAACGAGGTTGATGTCTCGACTTTATAGGAACTTTGCAAAGCAAAGCTTTTATAGCTGTCCGGACACACAACATTGCAAGTTGATAAAAGCGTTGTACAAAATTTGAGATCGATTTTAAGCGATCGTTATTCATATACCCACATATATATGTATGCCCATACATATATTACTTTTTTATCAATTCAAGTCTATTACATGCGTACATATATGTAATACTTCTATATTGGCATTAAGCTAATTTCCCAATGTGTAAGCATTCCGAAATCAAAGCGAGACAGTCTAGTACGGTTTTTGTGTATGTATTAGGGATGTTTCGAATGTAGTATTTTTCACATTCACAAATGCGAATGCGAATGCGATTTTTCGGAATGCGAATGTTAAGTAATCGTTTTTATTACTTTTTTGTAAAATTTTGTAAATTATTAGAACATTGAACGAGTGCTTAACCTACACAATGTTTTAATCTTGTATTCAAAGTTCAAAATGGGCATATTATATTTCAAAAAAAAAAGTAATTCTGCTGCCTTTTCTCCCATGAGGTGATTTCTTAGAGGCTCGTATATAAGGCCGGCTGCACTAGAAAATTGCTTACTTGGAACGGCGGGTGGAGTGCTAAAATATTTGCGGCCCAGATCTGTCAATTTGTCATATTTTTGTTTAGTTTTCCACCAATCGAGAGGATTTTCACCGAGATGAGCACGTTTTGCTTTAAGATAGGCTTTCAATTGAGCTTTTCTTTCACATTTTTAAGTGTCTCCTGATGTTACATCCGAGCCTTTGCCTGCCCTGGAGGAATCTAAAATTATGTCTAGGTTGCTTATACGAGTTTTAGCAGTACTTGTTAAAGGCCTATCAATGTTGCTTGATATACTACTTAACCGTTTAGCGCCTGAAGCTGAAAGCCGGTTATTGCCCGCAACCTGGTTAGACAGACTCAGAGCCATTTCAACCACATTAGAGTGGACACTCTGCCCATGTAGGTACACATTCGCATTCGCAAAACATTCGTATCATTTGATGCGAATGCGAATGTGTAAAATGATGCGAATCATTTGCATAACGAATGTGAATGCAAATATTCGCGACATCCCTGGTATGTATTGTGTACGTGGGTACCGTTTTTGTGTATGTGTTGTGTATATGTTTATTTATAAACGTATGTGTTCCTTTTCTCTTGTACGGCACTGTACCGTAATATTTTCGGGTAGTACTAGCTCTTACTGTCAATATAGGAGTTTTACATATATGCATGCGCCCCACGCTTTTCATTTTCAATGTCATAAGTTGTTTATAATGACTTGCTAAAATTTCAAAATCAAAAGTTATCAAAACAAGTTCTATGGGACTGAGAAATATTATTTTCTACTTCCTAGTCCATTTATAAAAGCGTTGTATATTAAAAAAATCTTGTCTGTATAAAATTTTGTAATAGATATTAAAATAATTCAACGATATTAATAGATGTGCACACAATGCATATACCAATTAATTTCATTTAAAGAAATGGCGTGCCCTCCATTTCCGCTGTAGCGTACGTAGCGCATAGGGCGACATCTACCTCTCGAACCAACGAGGTTGATGTCTAGACCTTATAGGAACTTTGCAAAGCAAAGCTTTTATAGCTGTCTGGACACACAACATTGAAAATTTCTGGACACACAACATTGCAAGTTGATAAAATCAATAAATAAAATAAATGCAATTGCACAGTCATACATACATATTTGATGCTTTTATTTCCTGCTCTTAATTTTTTGGATTAAATAGTTAATGTCTTTGCCAGGATAGCGGGAGTACTTTTAGCTCAACCACAACCACAAAATAAACCGCATTCAAGTGCTTCTTAAACGATATTGAACATGTGAGTAGCCAGTTGATTGTGTTTTATTTGAGACTACATTTTTTCGAATTCACTATTACACCAGTTAACTGTAACTCGTTTGTAATCGGCCTCACAGGCTTTTATTTCTACCGCTCCACACCCAAGTTTATTGCGTGTTGTTCGTTTCTAGGCCAAAGCCAAGCTCAGTTATCAGCTGTTAATTGCAATGTTTAATTAAGCTCCCAAATGATAAGCTCTAAGCTAATACTAATAGGTATCCATACAGGACACTGCAGACTAAGATCACAAATATATAAGCTGGGGTCAAGTGACTTTCTCTTCGAGTGTGATGCAGTCTGCAGAAGACGTGGGAGAAGTCTAGACTTCAAAGTGCTTAAATCCGTTGCTGAATGGCCAATTATCGTGGTAAAAATCGGTACTCATGGGGTTGTCATTTTATCCTTCTTGCCTCTAAGGGCCAATTTCAGATGAATATTTAAACGGCACTTATGTTTAATTTTGGATTGTTACTCAAATGCCATTTAACCATCGTTGGGCTTCAGATCAACTTTTTTTAAATATGCCAAACAAGTGGAGACACTATTGCTTGCTACTTGAAATTGTTGTTGCATTTGTTTGTTTGTTTGCATTTTGTGCTGAATGTTGTTTGGCAAGATTGATAAAACAACCTATCTAATAATCTTAGCTGTTTGGTACAAATACAGGGTTGCATATCTGATATTTAAATAGCCAATATTGGCCGTTTAAGTACGGATTAAATGCATGATCTGAAAATGGATTTTTGAAATTAATCAACAATCTCTACTTAAATAGGCCATCTGAAATTGGGCCCAAGAATATGAAATAGCTTTATGCTCCGCCTTTCCAATAAAGCGGCTGGTGGATTCAACACGATGAGAGTACGATGGACAATATGTTGTAAAAAATTTCAGTATGCTTTGATTATGCTGGTACTGACAAATAAATATGTCTTTGATTTATTTTTATTTACAGTAAATAATTTATTATCAAATAGATGGATATTGAAGTTAATTGATTACATACTGTCGATCTATGAATTTGGGAGTTATTCGTAAGTTCGATTTAACCACTATTAAATATCTACCAAGTTAGCATTTTAACTGCATTTTCGGAAATCGTTTCTTAAAGTTTTCACATTTAGGCGTTGTAAATAAGAAAGTTTCATTCATCGTAGTGGCTGCTCCGGCGCTCAAGGTGTTGGGTCTGTAAGCCTTTAGTACGTAGGTAGTGTTGAATTTAAGTTTGCTGAATTCTACGGAATCTTGCTGTGGATTAAAAAATTAATAAATTAGTAATGGAATTCTGTAAACTTAGTTATCATATGAACCCACCCTAACACGAATAGCGCTGTATTCTCGATGCTCACAATTACTTTCTTTCGGACAGAGTTCGTAGACCCTAAAAGATTAGGTGGATTAGCATAGAACATTCCCAGAATTTCAGAAAACAATCCTTACTTCTCTTTATAGGGTAGAAGTCCCGTTATTTGCACAATCATGCCAAACTTGCGATTGAGCCGATAACGTACTTCATAGCTCGCCAACGTAGCTGGTGAAGTTGCCCGCATCGTTGGCATAGTAACTTCGTGCAATGAGCGTACATTTTGCTCATTGATCTCGGTAATGTAGCTTCCACTATTTTGCTGAGCGTGTTCGTGATTTTGATGCGAGCATTTCAGGGACTTATATGGTGCCACCGGTTGAGTTGTATTATAAAGTATTGAACACTTGTCTGATTTTAAGCGACGACTGCCATTGATGGACATCGACTGCACTTGGATATAGTAACTGGAGTCGGGCAAAAGTTCGGCGATATCGAAATGGTGTGTCTGTTGATGCGATAATTATTTAGTTGTGTTTATAAAGAAAACAATGTATTTTATTGGTGTTCTTACGTCCTTCACGTAGGCCTCGTTTGTGATGACTGACTCGTCCTTATTCCTTACATAAAGTGACCATATGACCTTATACTTCTCAATGGGCAAATTTGACTTCGAGGGACACCAAACGATTTTCAGCTTATAGTGTCGACCATCAAAAACCGCCGAGACCACTTGGAGATCCGCAGGTGATTTCGGTGGTTTGGGATCTAGGTGAAAGTGGTTTAATCAAGGTATACTTAAGTATTTTTTTTATGGTACGAGCAACTTTTCAACACTCACGATGTGTTAAGCGGAATTCTTCAGATGGCTCAGAATAGCCACGAAAGCCATACGCATTTATTGCGGCCACACGCGCTTGATACCAATGACCAGGCTTCAGATTGAACGAAATATCAATTCTGCAAATACCAAATAGTTGGCGAATGATGAATTCCCTTTTACGATGTATTTACCTTTTACTGCGCGCATCCGAAACCTCAGCAATCTTCTCCACCAATTGACATTGCCACGCACTAAGCTTTCGCGGTGCGAAGGAGACACCGAAGTGGTAACGCACTTCCACGTGGCAGTAGTAGGTGGAGTTGGCCGACGATTCAATGGTTAGTTCTACCTTATTTCCACGCGCTAATTTATATCTCAGAATTCTCGGTATTGGCGGCAGCAGAACGTCCTCGCGCACACCAATCGCATCCACACAGGCGGGTCCGCAGCCAATGTCGCAGCATTTTTGCACCACTGGACAGTCAGCGTCGTACATGCAACTGCCGAGGCAGGAGAGCCGCTGCATTGGTGAGATCTCTTGCATTGAGAAAATTTGCTTGTTCGGACAGGTGCCTCGCCGCGGTTCACGATAGATGGTTGATTGACATTGCTGGAAACATGCTTCCGAATCCTCTGAAACAGGACTTACACCATCTGCGGCGCACTTCGCATGGCATTGTAGTTCCAAAATTTTATCCTTAACATCTATAGTAGAGCAGTGTTGGTGAACTGCTGTATTGTAATGTGAGGCATGGGCGTACTCCTTGCCAGCAATGTGGAGAATATTTTGGAATACTTGTAGTAGGAAGAATATGACGCAAAGTGATGGACACAGTTTAAATTGAGCGGACGGAAAAATCATTTTTTTTTTGGAAAGTGTCAACTGGTGCTAAAAGAAAAATTGTTTGATTTTAGATTTATGTACGTATGTACTTACATACATACATATGTATTTGCACTATATATACACGAACATTAAATCATTTCGAATGAAATTAATTCCGCCGAATCTATGCGGCAGAGTAATTGAAAATGGGGTTTTGCCACCATGGAAGTAATCGATGGATCTTTTCTAGTAGACCTTGAAATACATAGGCCCAAATAAAAAGGAAGAGCTCAGAAAGGAATGAAGAAAAATTAATAAAAAGAACTAGCCGTTCTCAGCAGGCTTACGTGTTAACTTGGGAAATATTATTTTAAGATATTCGAAGTTTTAATCAATATGGCCGAGAACAAATTAAGAATCATTGCAGCATTACTACAGTACTCCGCAAGCTAAAGGATTATTCTGTTGAAACTAATATATATATATATATATACTAGCATTTTCCGGAAGATCTGGTTGTCAACGGGGGTAGTGACGTTTCCATAAATTAGCTGTTTTCTCTACGTTGACTAAATCTGCTTGTAAGATATCGCCAAAAGTCTGAAAGCCATTAACTTCCCATTGTGGATCTCCGAAACGATAAAGACTACCTTCGATTTATTTCTCCATTTTCGAAATTCCAACTGGTTTTATAGAAAATGCTACCCATCAGTATCTTCTACAGAAACAGAAAAGTGCATGTTCTGCTTGCATGGCGCATATTTGGAGATACATAAATTTTATATCCTAACGCACTTGTTTAGTTTTCCGTCTTAAATGCTGTAATTTTCGATAAATGACCTCAAAATATACATACTACAGCCGTAATGACTTTCTTTAACCATAAACACTCAGGAAAATGTATCTTAAAACATAAAATCAGACAAGAAATCCATTTGATGACAAAGTTTACTAAAAGCGTACTAAGCTAATTATTGCATTTACGCACATGTATGCATGTATATGTGGACACTTATAAAACTGCATAAATACTTCTTGCACATTTGCTATAAATACGCAATACTTTTTAATGACCGACCGACCAACCAACCGATCTCGAAATGCGCCCGCGGACAAACAGACACGCAACGCCGGTGAAGTAATACTAAAATTCGGACCAAGTGCTAGGCTGTCTGGTAGTAGCTCTGTTGGTACTAATCGAAAATGTAGGATTGGCGATCGAAATGAAATTTTGCGAGTGCAGGCGTTGCGTCTTGCAATGCAATTCGGTCTATGGTTGCCGAGAGGCCAAAGCTGGCGAGGGAAGACGCGCTGGCGGGCATATAGCTAGCCTAAAATGTTGGAGTGAGAGATTTGTGATAGTCACTAAGTAAATGTTTGTCCATACATACATATGTATTTTTGAATGGTATATTTATATGTATGTAAGTGAAAGAGAACGTCGAATGCATTGTTCCACAACAGCTTCTCAAAGAATATTCGCACATTTCTATTTTATGCGAATCAATTCAATTCGTTTCATTCATGCATTTTCATTATCACTTTTATGTACATATGTCTCTTTATATTTACTTATGTATTTACGCCTGAATACTTAATATATACACGAGAGCTTTATGCAGGCGGTTACTGATATCATTTGCTGTCAGTGCACAGTTGGGCTGATAAGAAATTCTTATACAGCTTGCGACCTTAAGGTTTGTAGACACTACAGGCAGATGTAGGTACATTAGGGTGGTCCTTAAATGCAAATGAGCGATTTTTTCAGTCTCACTCCCTCAATCGGTAATACCATGGTCACTTATATCACATATAAATTTTGGTTTCGATTGGGGACGGTTAAGGCGCGTCGCACAGGGGGCAAAGTACAGATGCCTCTATGGCAGCGATGGGCAGAGAGAGCTTTTACTAAGCACGCGACTATACAAAATATATAGAAAGCTTAAAAGTGCTTTGCCCGCTGACAAGGCGGTGCCGGTGGGGTGCAATAAGGCCATACGCAATAAAGCCATATGGCAATAAAGCCATATTTTTAGGCAATAAAGCCATATGGCCATATTTTTCGCCGTAGAGAACATTACGTCCAAATGATGTGTTTGTTGTAATTCATTATTAAATTCGCCTTGGACACCCTCTTGAAACTGATAATGAATTATTTAAATTTATACAAATTATTACTAATAAAATTAAATAAATCATTATTTAATATTTCCGGATTTATTGGATATTGGAAAATAAATATATATACTTAGGTAAGTTTTAATTTTGCGAGTGCGTAACCTGGCGGGTGCACATTTGCTGGCTCCCCGCACCGCGCGGCGCGTGAACGGCGGAGCGCGGCGCGGCTGGACGGAAGGAGAGTAATTGCATGTTTAAGGTGACGTTGCAGTTCAAGGCGGTTTAGTAGTTTTGTTGCGAACTTTTTCCATTGTTCAAATAAAAGAAACATAAAAATTTGAAAGCGAAATAAAGCCATATGGCCTAATTACCAATTGTAACTGGAAATAAAGCCATATCGAATTTATGGCCTTATTACCAAATCACCGCTGTATGGACTCGAAAAATTGAAAATACTTATTTTTTTCATTTAATACCCAAAATCGATACTATTAAAGTCGAGGATATCACAAATAAATTTTGGTCACGATTGAAGTTGGTTAATACGTCTTCATTGGGTAATCTGAGCTTTGCCCCCTGTGCGACACGCCTTAACCGTCTCCAATCGGGGCCAAAAATTTATATGAGATATCTTCCACAATAGTAGCATCGACGTAAAGATTTGCTTCCTACATTTAAGCACCACCCTAAGGCACGTATATTATTTTAGGTTTATTTGTAACAAAAAAAAATGAAGGAATCGGTGTCGAGCATGCAAACTCAAGAATTCTGCATTCAGCAGCAATGATTGTAATTTGAGCTTTCCTTGTTTATAAATATGAAAAATTTCTGAATTTTCTTACGACTTATGTACTTAAAAATGTTTATTTTATTGAAAAATGTATAAAATTCATCACGTAAATTCGAAAAGTATTTCAGATATGTACGTGCGCCTGCTTTATTTCAGAGTGTATGCAGACGGCGCCTAACCATTATCCACGTAATTATTTCGTAGAAAATCAAAATGCTTCTCAATAATATCATTCTTGGTATTGAATTTCAAAAATATTGTTCCCGTGCTAAAAATTGCGAAAATATAAAATACATTTGAAATAATTTCCTTTTTAACCGACTTCCAAAAAAGGAGGAGGTTATCAGTTCGTTTTTTTCTTTTTTTATGTATGTAACCGCATAACTTTGGACCACGTTCAAAAAGAAATTTTACAATGCGTAAATCGTTTTAATTTTAGTAGTCTCTTTTTCGGGCACTAGGCCCATTCTAACTGCCCAAGACAGGTATGTAATTAAGGGAATATTCCCCAATAATACCTGAGTAATTACATTTAAAAACAACATTTTTAGTTGCACTTCAATATGCCATGAAAATAAAAAAATTTAGAACATCAGCGTTTTTATAAAAAATCGACAGGCGCGACCTCCAAAGAAACGTCTTTTTCAAAATAAAAAATACGTGTCTCTTTTTTTATTACAATTAACAATACTTTGATGTAGCGTTTATGAATTTCCAAATAAAATTCTTTTTTTTAACCACTAATCCGCAGAGAAAAAAATTCTTGGCTTCACATTAAAATCAACTGATAAAGTGCCGGCGGCTGCTCCGAATTTTGTATCGTGTGTATAATCGTCACCTAATTGCCTAAAAACTGGCAAAGTTCTGCAAGCCTACAAATCTTGCTGTGCTTACAATACTTATATAAAGGCATACATATGTATGTAGGTACATTAGACTGCATCACCAAAAAAAGTTGCGGTTTGTCCGCCGGGATTACAAAATGTATTCTATTCTAAGACGTCCACCAAAAATATTTTGGAAAAATATTAAGTTTTACGTGAGCTGGACCTATTTGAAAATACCTCCAAAAATGGAGTTCTTTATGAATAAAAATAGTTTCTTAAGGAACTTTTTTAAAAAAGTCCCCTCAGATGACAAAACAGATTAAGCTTAAGAAATCTGCATAAAAATATTTAAAAATTTTTTCAACGGCATCGTATTAATAAAATTTTTGATGCTGTTACTTTTTTCAAAGATTGATTTAAGAAAAACTTGAATAACTGGGCAAAAACTATTCTCATTTAGACTTGTGGGACCTCAATAGAAAGGTATTTCCCACTATTTTTATTTCTGTCAAAAAAAGTCATTCGTGTCCCAATTTTTTTTCAAATACCTACACATCTTAAGTCAACTTTGGATCACGTTCGTTCATCCTACCTTTCTCTTTCATTCTTTGAATGACATTATTAGCAAAGAAATAAAAAGGGCGAGAAAATACCTATCCAATGATACCTAACAAGTCTAAATCGGAAGAGTTTAGGTTCAGTTATTCAAGTTTTTCTTATACTAATCTTTGAAAAAAGTTAAAAACTGCATCAAAAATCTCATTATTATGATTCCGTTAAATTTTTTTTTACTATTTTTATGCAAATTTTCTAAGCTTAAACCGTTTTGTCATTTGAGGGGATTTTTTCAAAAAAAAAATCTTTAAGAAACCATATTTATTCATAAAAAACTAAATTTTTTAGGTATTTTCAAATCGGTCCAGCTCACGTAGATCTTAATATTTTTCCGAAATATTTTGGTGGACGTCTTTAAATATAATAGATTTTATAATTCCAATGGAAACACAGTACCGATTTTTTCTTGTATGGGGAGTGATGCAGTCTAATGTACATACATGCATATACACATGAATACATACGTGTCCCTACATCCATCTTTTGAAGCGCCAACTTTCGCCATAAATTATGAAAATCCCAAATAGACAAAAATGTCAAATTGAAAGCATATACGAGCGAAATGAAATCGTAACACTGGCGTGTTTAGCCCTGGCTCACAGCCCTTGACGCTGTTGCGGTACTGCCTAGGCATTGATCTCACTTGCTTGCTTGGTTTTGTGGTTGCGGTGGGTGGCACAAACACTGAGAGTTCAGTACAGCCACAGCTGGAGTGAATTGAGAAAATTACAGTTGAGTAGGGTGGGATGTGACGTGTGGAATAGAAGAGTAGGAGGTGGCTGTTGTGAAAGTGGAGGAATAAGCTACAAATTAAATATGGCCACAATGACGGTGCTGCCAAAATTTTTGCGATTTAGGTCATAAAGGAAATGATACACACATACATATGTACATTTGCATGCTTGTTTTTATTAGATATTAGTATATTGGAAAGCCATTTCGGTAAAGTTGGCTGCGATTGCGAATTTTGAAACCACTCGTGGCGCGCTTTATGGCTAAAGGCAAAATATACGCAGTTCCAAGATATTGTATGTATAAATATACATACATATATGAAGCCACATACTTGACCATTCCTTAAATCATCCAGCTAATATATTGGCGCCGATACAGCGAACGACCGACAGGCAGTAAGTGTGTCGAAATGTACGTTACTTACTGGAGTTGATGTCAGAATTTATTGGATAAGCACATTTTACATTGAATTTATTGACTTGCGAAGCTCATAAAGCTTATAAAGCTTGTCGACAGAATTAATTTAAATCGAGACGATGTACATACATGCATATGTAGATACACACACACACACATAGACACACCGCTATCCCCATAAATAAGTGTTACTCAGTCCGCGCAGCTTGAGGTCCGCTGCCCTTTCGGCGACATGTGGCGCCTCCGTGTACGCCGTGTAACTAAATTAAATTTCTAATGCATCTAATTAAGTGTCCAGCTGTGCCTACAACTTAATTGAGGATTAATTGATATGTCATCAAATCTAAGGCTATCATACATGGCTGGATACACATACATACATGCTGTCATACATTGCCAGAACTAAAATTGCATTAAATACTACAACATCAAAGTGACTAAAAGCTCAATGGACTAGTGGCAAACGCTTTCTGCCAACTACGTAGTCTTATGTCCGCAGCACCAACTACCCATCATTTTGATATTATTCAAGGCAATTGTGCCATCAACTAGTCTAAGGAGTGTACTTCAACGCAGATGTAAATACTACGTCTGCGCCTTTATATATGCAGTTATGTTAAAAATAATGACAGTATAATTTACCAGTGCAATTAAATGGGAGAAGTAGTAAAATTGTAAAATTGCGTTTAATCG